GGTGCTGTAGTTGACTAATTCCTGCACTGAGCAAGGGGGTTGGAGTAGGTGACCTCTAGGATCCCTTCAAACTCTGTCTCAAGAAACTGGTCTCCTTGAAGAGAGTTTTTCTGCCAAAGTTTTAGCTTTCTTTACTACAGAAGTCATCACCCCCCACCTGCCGGCCTGTGATCAGAATTGTTGCTTTGGCTGACGGAAGTGATTGACTTGCAGCAGCTGAGAACTGTCATCTAAAGCGGTTGACAGCTTGCAGTTTAGAGATCTGTCCTGGGAACAGCTTTCTATTGGCTAAATGGCTTTTCTTTCTGCACTGAGGACTTCAGCCCCACCAGGAAAAAATTGCCCCACAAGCCACAGAATCCTGGCTACGGGCCAGTTCTGTTACCACTGAATTCCCATCTAAATGATTTCCAGGTTCTTGAAAAAAACAAGGATTTTTGATTTTTCATAACTTAATTGGAGCTTATTAGATGCAAAGTACTCAAAGCATAGATTTAGAAGATGCTTCAGGCCCACTCGCAAGCAGGACATTAATAGTGCGTCATCTATGTAAAGTAACAGGGGTACATGTACAGAACCAAGTTTAGAGCTATGGCCATCAGCGCCAGACAGGATCGGTGTAAACCATTAAGAAAAAGATTAAATAAAGAAGGCGCTAAATGCAGCCCAGTTTAACTCTTCTATTAGTTGGAATTTTTGGGGTTAACTTTCCAGCTCAGGAGCATTTACCTTGACGGGTCGTAAAAGTATGCAATTTCCTGACAAGCAAAAGCAATCTCTTATTGATTATTCCACATATTAATTTTTCTTTAGGTGAAGGACTACCTTTTATCTGTTCTAAGCCTCCTGCTCATCAATTTCATGGAGTGCCCACCAGTTCTTGTATTACGAGAAAGGGAGAAAAGGACTTCTTTCTCATACTCTATCCCATGCATAATTTTGTAAACCTCTTATCATATCACCCCTCAGCCGTCTATGCCTGTGGCCATCACTGCCTCCTCTGGCAGCAAATTCTACATTTTAATCATTTGCTATGTAAAGAAGCAGGGGTCATTTCCCGCGGGACCGCACAGGAGCGGAGCTCCGGCAGCAAAGAGCCCAGGGGGCGGGCACATGCAACAAGCCCCACCCCCTGCTCCCAGGAGCCCTCAGTCAGAGCAAGAAGCAGCCAGGTGAGTTGCAGAGCTCCCCCTGGCCCCCTGGTCCAAAACAGTCCAGTGGCACCTTTAAGACCAGGTTTTATTCAGGTACAAGCTCTCCCTCCTCTGCAAGGACAGATCTGCGCGTTCCCCCCCCCCCATAGCTAGCAATCCAAAACAGTCCAGTGGAGCCTGAGCGGTGGGTGTTGCCTTCTGACACACTTCCGGTGATGTCCGGGGGTGTGGCATATGCAAATGTTATGCTAATAAGCTCCTGCACCGCTATTTCTACAAAATGACCCCTGTGTATTTCCTTTATCCAGGGAAGGGAAAAACCTTAGTGGAGTATAATGCCACAGAGCCGATCCTCCAAAACAGTCATTTTCTCCAGGGGAGCTAAACTCGAGATCTGTTGTAATTGCGGGAGACCTGCGGGCACGACCCAGAGGTTGGCAAACCTAATCGTAATGGTTATTCTTTTCAAAACGCTTTACTACGTATTTATTTAAAAGCTTTAAAATAAGATTTTAAATCTTCCCACCTGTGCTTTTCTGGCGCTGAAAGCAATTTAAGGAAAGGCATGGAACCGTTCGATGAAACAGGCAAGACAAAACTCTAAGAAAGTCCCACACAAGTTCATACCTGGTAGGAAAGGAAGAAGATCTTTGAAGAGGATAATAATTGCTGCTGGGATAATGGTTGTTGCAACTTTTTAGGGAGCAATCCGAAAGCATGGGAAGCCAAAGACAACTCTCTCCATCACCAGTCTCTTAAGAGGGGCTGTGGCTCAGTGGCAGAGCATCTGCTCGGCATGCGGAAGGTCCCAGGTTCGGTCCCTGGCAATGTTCCTCCGGGTTGTTTGTGGAAAAAAACTGAAATTTTCGGAAAAATTGAAAAAAATGCTACATTAGCATTTCTTTTGTCTTTTCTAGATTGAAAGTCATTCTGTTACTTTAGGAACATAAAATATGACTATGGACATTTTTACTTGGCATGAAATTATCACAACTAGCATATTAAAAATATAGTGTATCCAAGCAATTATTACAAACAGAATACCCACCCACATACAAAAACAAAACTGAAACCTTTTTATTTTCTTCTGACAATAGCACCTCCTAAAGGAAGAAATGCATCTTGTTCTTGCATTGGAGAGTTCAGTTTGTAACCTAGGACTTGCTCAAGCATTAGATCAATCTGATACCATATATATATATATTTTAGAAATGATTTGGAAAATATTTGAACACCTTCTCTTAAAATATTTTAGTCATCATAATCAATTTCTTTTCTTTTCTTTTTCAATTTTTTCAATTTTTCGGAAAAAAACAAAAAAGCCTTCAGGAAAAAAACGGGAGGAAAACCGGTTTTTTTCCGAATTTTTCCGGGTTTTTTCCGGGCCTTCACATCTCTAACTCTGGAGCCATCCTTCCTGAGCTGAGACAAAAATGTGTGAGCTGGAGGCTAAAAAACTGTGAGCTAGCTCACACTAACTCAGCTTAGAGGGAACACTGGTCCCTGGCATCTCTAGTTAAAATGATCCGGTAAAAGGTGATGGGAAAGACCTCTGCCTGAGACCCTTGAAAGACACTGCCAGTCTGAGTAGACCGTACTGAGTTCGATGGACCAAGAGTGTGATTCAGTATAAGGCAGCTTCATGTGTTCATGAACTACTACCTGGGAGACCCAGGTTCGAATCCCTGCTCATGCCATGGAAGGTTGCTGGGTGACCTTGGGCCAGTAGCACACTTCCTGCCTGATTCACAGGTAGGTTTGCCAACCTCCAGGTGGTGGCTGGAGGTCTCCTGCTATTACAACCCATCTCCAGGCAACAGAAATCAGCTCCTCTGGAGAAAATGGCCACTATGGCATTAGACCCCACTGAAATCCCTCCCCTCCCCAAACCCCGCCCTCCTCAGGGTCCACCCCCAAAATCTCCAGGTATTTCCTGACCTGGAGCTGGCAACCCTGGGGTTGTGAGGGCAACATGGAGAAAGAGAATGTCGTAAGCTGCATTGGGTCCCCATGGGAGGGAATGGGGTATAAATGAGGTAATTAAAATGAATAAATTTGACAGTAAGCCCCAGATGGGATTTAATTCCAAGTCATTGTCTGCGAGAGTTGGACTATAAGGAAGGCCGAGCGCCGAAGAATAGATTCTTTTGAACTCTGGTGCTGGAGAAGACTCTTGAGAGTCCCTTGGACTGCAAGGAGATCAAATCAGTCAATCCTAAAGGAAATCAACCCTGACTGTTCCCTGGAAGGACAGATAATGAAACTGAAGCGCCAATACTTTGGCAACCCAATGAGAAGGGAGCACTCACTGGAGAAGACCCTGATGCTGGGAAAGATTGAAGGTCAAAGAAGACGGGGACGGCAAAGGATGAGATGGTTAGACAGTGTCATAGATGCAACGAACATGAAATTGAGTGAACTTCAGAGGACGGCAGAAGACAGGAGGGCCTGGCGTGACCTGGTCCATGGGGTCGCGAAGAGTTGGACTCGACTGTGCGACTGAACAACAACAACATTGTCTTTAAAGCTTGTAGCCTTCAGTGGTTTGTATGCTCTATACTCCAAATGAGCCATAGTTTTGTGAGCTGATGTGCTATCTGCATAATGTGTAATACAGCTCTCCTTGGCAGGCACCTTTAGTTCCAGCAAATAAAATCAAGATACCTCTTTAAAAGTAAGCAAAAAGAATCTGAGGAGTTTGGGATGAATAAGCCCTTCTTGTCATATGTGCTCACATCCAGTGTAACGAGCCATCAAAAGAGATCAGATGAAACTGTTGTTTCCTTCCTTTGTTTCAGTTGGTGCATGGAAGTCTGGGTTTGAACAATTAGGAAAAAATTCTGTTATGTACAGTTCTCTGTAGTAGGAGCTGCGGTGGCTCAAGTGGTTAAGACGCTGAACTGCAGGCTGTGGAAGGTCGGTAGTTCAGCAGTTCGAGACCCGGGTGCCGCATGACGGAGTGAGCTCCCGTCTCTGGCCCCAGCTCCTGCCAACCTCGCCTTTTGAAAGCAAGAAATGGCAAGTAGATACAGCAGGTATCACTTTGGTGGGAAGGTAACAGCATTCCGTCATACCGTCCACGTGACCATGGAAATGTCTTTGGACAGCGCTGGTTCTTCGGCTTGGAACATCGCAACCCTAGAGTCGGATTCGACTGGCTTTCGAGCAAGGGAAACCTTTACCTTTACTTTACAGTTCTCTGTAGGTGGGAAATGGGATAATTTCACTCCCAGCTCCCATGTCAATTTTTATTTCTGTGTTTTATCTTCCATGTAAAGATAAGTACAAAGAGACCTCCCAGTTGTGAAAGATCAAAATTACAGAATCAACCTGAGCCTGCCTTGGCGGGGAGGGTGGGGTATAAATTGAATAAATAAATAAATCTCTCCCTCCTCCTTTCAGGGAGCTCATGGCAGCATACATAGTTCTTCTCCCCCCTCCATTTTTTCCTAACAACAATCCTGTGAGGTAGGTTAGACTGAGAAAGAGAGAAAGAGTATAACTGAACCAAGATAACCCAACAAGCTTCACGAGGATTATCGAACACCATCTAATATTTTCCACTACCCGTGTTATTTTTCCCAATCTGAAATTATGTCACCATTTCCCCTTCAGAACACTTCATAGACTAGAGCCGATTTTTTTTAAAAAAACTACATTTCCCAGTCTGCACTTGTGCACCGACGTGATTAACATAAACCAATAGGAAAAGGCAAAAGGGCATTTAGCCTTTCCCCGAGAGGGAACAGCCAACTGCCTCAGACGCCAAATAAGTGTCCCGTCATGCATCGCGGCCCCTCACACTCACGTGATCACTACAGGCCAATAGACGGCGGCAGAATCGCCCTATAATCCTCCGCGGCGGCGGAAACGGCCCCCTTTTCGCCCGGGTGGCGCGTCTCAAGATGGCGGTGCAGATCTCCAAGAAGCGAAAGGTGAGGGCTGTGGTGGGGAACGCGCTCGATAACGCGGCGACCCGGAGTCGCCGGGCCGGGAATACCGGTGTAATGAGAAGCGGCGGGCTGAGCTGGGAGTCCTGAGGGCGACGGTGGGGCCGTCGGGACTGCGACAGCGGCGGATGGAGGCCGATTGAAGCGGCCCCCATTCTCGGCAAACGCTCCAGCTGGGCCTGATTGAAGCAACATGGCGGCAGGGAATGGATGATCGTATTGTGGCGCGGGGCAGGCTGGGACGTCGGAGGGTCTGGGCGGCAAGAAAGACGGGAGGACGGGGGTGACTTCAGGCCCGTAAGCCTTTCTGTGGTATTTCTGCATTAGCGCCACCCCCCCGGCTTATCTAATGGTTTTGACCCAGTTGGTGGCAAAGTGGACTGCACCACGTCAGAAGGGGGGTGGCGTCTTTTGGCTACTGTATTAACAACTCCCTGCAAGCAGAAATGTAGCGCAGAAAGATGGGAGAACTGGGTAAAACCTTTGCATTTCTCCCTGCCGTGCTAGATTTCTTCTGCACCTGTGCTCGGATATTTGCTGCTGCGTAATATGCATGAGCTAGCCCTGAGGATCAGGTTGCCCCAGCGCATGGGGGTTCTTGCTCAGCACATGGGGATAATAGTTGTTGATAGTCTTCTATTCTGGGTGGTCCAGGAGTTTCAAACTTTTCTGGCATCATTATTTGGTAGGGGGGTATCTGGCCTTGCAGGGTGGTGAAAAATTTCTGTACATTTGCTGGTGTCTTTCCCCAATGTGGTGGTACTGGGTTGTGAGGTGCTTTACCTGTTGAATATCTGCACCTACAGGAATAGCACCATAGCTGAAGTGCTTCCAGGAGCTGGTGTGGAAGGAAAGGTGATTGGGGGGGGGTCCGGCAGACATTTCTGGTGTGATACTATTGCAGAGAAAAGATATTAGTTGCAGGGCCTTGATTGTGGTCTGTGGAGAGGGACTGTGGCTGAGTGGTAGAACGTCTGCTTGGCTTGCAGAAGGTCCCAGGTTCAGTCCCCGGCATTTCCAGCTAAGGACCAGGCAGTCGGTGATGGGAAAGATCTCTACCGGAGGACTGGAGAGCAGCTGCCCGTCTGAGTAGACAGTACTGACCTTGATGGAGCAAGGGTCTGATTCAGGAAAAGGCAACTTCATGTGTTACTTTTTGTGGAGGGACATACAATTGAAAATACACTGGCTTGATGGGATGGGGGCTCTCCAGAGCTGCGTATAGAATCATAGAATGTTAGCGTTGGAAGGGACCTTGCAGGTCATCTAGTCCAACCCCCCGTACTCTGCAGGAGCATAGCCGAAAGAGAGCCTTACAACATACCCAAAAGATGGTCGTCCAACCTCCACTTGGAAATGTCCAGCAAAGGAGCATCCACCTGTAGTTCAGTGGTGTCTCGATATCCTGGTAGCCTGGAAGCCAGCAGGTTTTTAAGTGTCGTGATCCTATTGTCAATGTTGCTTTTACCCGGTAGGTATCTGACAGGCCCACAAGGCGTTGTATTCATCATATCACATTTCTTAGAGTACGTGGAGGAAAATACAACTGTAGTGCTTTCTCTCTGCTCACTGCCACAGGCAAGCTGTTGTTTACTTGAGTACTTTGAGGATAAGTCTCATTGGCTTGGTTATTGTATTTCCAGGAACACATCCTAAGCTGTTGGTTGGCTTGCCTTGGCACAGGGAACGACCTGCACTATGTATTTTCTTTTATGCACAGCTGTTCAGGTGGCAAAGGGGGACACCAGCAGATAAAATGGCTTACCTGGGTTTTGGGACAGCTTGGAAGCACAGATTGTAGCTGGGGGGCCCCAAGTATATCTTGACAAGCAGGGGTCATTTCCTGCAGGAGCGCACGGGCTGGCAGTAAAGAGCCCAGGGGGTGGGCACACACAACAAGCCCCCCCCCCCGCTCCCCAGTCTAAAACAGTCCAGTGGCACCTTTGAGACCAGGTTTTATTCAGGTACAAGCTCTCCCTCCTCTGCGAGGACAGATCTGCATGTTCTC